TTTTAAGTAATAATTTTTTCAAACTAATTTTTATATTGTTATAACATTATATTGTTCAAACAAATTTGATGAATTCACAACCGTAATTAAATATTTTTGCTTACCAACCGGGCGAATACATTAAATACTATTTTTGCTTGAATCTCATTGTGCATGAAACTGTTTTTTAAGTCCTAAATCATTTAACAGATCTCTTTAACTGTAATTTATATCAGTATATCAATGTTATTTGCAAAAATAATAAATGTAAAACGGGTAAAAAGTTCAGACCACCTTTCTAAATAACTTCATCTTAAAATGTAGCGCAATATTGCATTGTAATAATAATTAAAGAAAAAAAAAAGACACAATTCTCTTAGTTTTAAACTCTTGAATTAAAAACCTAATATTATCATGTATTTATATTATTACGATAACGGAAAACAGCTTTAAATTAGGAATACAAAAATATTTATTGACAAACAATACTTTTATGACTTTTATTAATATTATGCACACAAAACAATATGGAAATGAATGAGGAAAAACTGGATCCTACCTCGTGATTTTCCGACTAATAAAAGTACACGGACAACAATGGAAAACTGCGACACAATCATTAGACTTTTATGCATAGTAGGATCATCAGCATCGGCACGACAGCCCTTTGTGTGCCTGGGCCCTCATTACTCCTTACCAGTTCTTAAGACACATATGCTTAAAAAAATGTTTTTGTTATGCAACAAAATAAACACGACACATGGCATTAGATATGGACCTTGCCCTACAACGCCATTTATGTTGTTCCTTGAGTTTACCTGATGAAAAAAATCAAAAAATATTTTATTATTAAAGAATATGCAATACACGATGTTTTTTTAAAATTAAATCTAAAATTATATTTTTCAATTGTATTAAAAAAATATTAGGAATTTCGGTTTTAAACTCATGTTTTAAGAAGCATATTTGAAAAAAAAGCATTTTGAAACAAAAATGTATTATTATTATCGCTCGATATTAGATAACTCGTTTAACTACTATGACAAAATTCATTCATGAAATATACTTCCCTCATGCTGCCAAAAATGTAATTATTTCAAATAATGCATAACAAGTATCTTTAAGAACATATTTCCATGAATACGAGGTAAAAGCTGGACATAGCATATTCCAGGTAGAGGCGTAGATTGATGAAAAAAATCTGTATTCCTTCGTTTAATAACTTTAAATTTTCATCAATTTACTTAAAAATAAAAATAACTTTAGGGAATGTTTCTCTCATTTTGTCATATTATCTTCATCAGTAGTATGTTAACGCGGATCCCTCAACCCCCGAGATGTTTCCTTCTTTTTTTGCGCCAGAGTTACATTAGAGCCATGATCACCTTGCTTTACGCTTTGTTTTGATCTTTTACCGTTAAATTCTGCATTTCATTCGTCTGTAATTATATAAAAAATTAACACTACCTAACAAATGAAATTAAACAAAAATTATCTAACTAGATTAATAAATGTGTCCAGATCACATATATCATGAACCACATACGCGCATTACATATATTAGCTAAGAGAGTTGGCTGAATAATGTCACTTAGATAATTGTCTATTTTTTTTTCACAAAAAAAAAGATACGTAAATATTCACCCATATTTCATTAATATGCCAAAAAATTTCCGTCTCATTTTACGTTTTTTTTTTTTTTTTTTTTTTTTTTTTTTTTTTTTTTTTTTTTTTTTTTTTTTTTTNCCTAAAATTTTTAACCCTCAAATAAAATAGATGTGAAACAAATTTATTTATATATATATTAAAGTTTATGTCTCACAAAGCTATACAAAAAATTTTGTTTTAGACATTTCTACTCTAAATGTAGAAATTGATTTCGTCAACTTAATCAAAAAACAAATCAATCTATCAATATTCTAAAGTTTATCAGGCTTCGAATATTTTTAACGCTAATTGCTATAATTTAAAGAAACCACTGCATCTTATATGTTTTTTTTCACTTTCCAGAAAGTTCAGTTTTTCGAACGAACGATAGTGAAATAAATGCTAAGGAACTCGAAAGCCCGAAACCAAAACAAAATGATAATTTTAATGAACTAGTTGGAAGCTCGACTAACATCAAGTATTGCGTCTCATCCAAATCAACACGATACATTTCCTGATGACTTTCTCGTTCACCAACATTTACCCCAAAAAAACGTTAAGCTTCCAAAAGCGTTGGTTTAAGCAAGTTCTGTGGTTGCATGTTGCGATATTGGAAGTTTTTATTGCATCAAATATTTTCACCTTTCCCCCGGAAAAAAAAAACACTTGCTTCCAAAACAGATGAAAGGGCTTTAAAAATTGGAAAAAAGCTCTGCAGAGATTCAAAAGCCATGAAAAGACTCATTCTCAAGTTGTATTCAGTCATGCTTAGCAATTTTCTACGATAAAAGCCGAGCAGCAAAAAATTGGATCACCATTACCAAATACCTCGCAAACTTCTGGATCACCATTACCAAATATCTCGCAAAACAAGGATTAGCAGTCAGAGCCAATGATTAAGGACCTCTTGACAGGTCAAAGTGTAGATAAGCCAAATCTGAAGAGAGAAAAATTGCACCCATCCGGATATTCAAAACGAAATCCTTGAAATATTTGGGAGAGAAATTTCACCTTTCATTTTTTTCCGTGATGGAACGAGAGATATTTCAGGGGTTAGCAAGAAAGTATTTGTATTAGGTGGGTAGAAGACAATTTAGAACCCCAAGATACATTTCTAGGATTTTGCAAGACTCCGGCAACAACTGGAGAAGACATTGCAGCACTCATAACTGATGTCCTAATGCGACTTCCCTTAGAAGGATTGAGAGGACAAACCTAGTTCAAAGCATCTTAATTGCGAAACAACCTCTTTGCTGATTATATCCTCGGAGTCACCCATTCTTGTAATTTAATCATGAAAAATGTTTGTGATTCTTCAAAGGAAGTGAGGAATTCCTTGGATCATTAACATCAATTGGGAAATTTATTCGCAAATGCTAAGGTGAAATCAATATTTACATTCTTTCAAGAAGATTTGACGCAATGTCCTGTAATCAATGCAGGTAGAATAAAGCCATTGTGTCCAACACGATGGATTTATAGGCATTCTCAAATCAATGAAGCTCTCACAAAAATATGATATAATCCTGAAAACCTTAGAAGAGTCGAAAAATTTACGATGGGGCAAGTGGCTTACTGAGCACTTTCCAAAATGGAACTTTAAAACTGATCATAGGAAAAGAAATAATTGAAATGCTAGAAACCATCAACAAATCATTTCTTGGTTAACACATTGTCAAGTTTATGTATATCTATTGAAGTTATGATTGTCAGATCTGCGAACTTTTCAAAAGTTTTTGAAGAATGTTCAGCAGCAATTGAACTGGAAGGGTAAAAATATACTGGAGGGTGCCCCTTGGGGAAATTGGCGACTTATGTTTGGCGCCATTCCTGTTTGCACGGAACACCGTGGTAACAGGAATGGCGGCCAAAACATAATGATATTTCAATAAAACATTGGAAAATTTCAGCAAAACATCGGCCAAAACTTTATAAAATTGCAATGAACCCAATATAAGCAAAATTAATGAAAGAAAGAAAAGGAAGAAAAGAAAAAACTCACTTCTTCATTAAGCTTGAATATCCTCAGGCACATAATTCTCTAATAGCAGTTAGGTACTGTCTAAATTTATCACGAATAAAATTTATCAAACTCCATCACCACATAAATTCGGCGAAATACGAATCGAAAATGGCGTCTGTGGTACTAGACTGGCGGTGACATTTTTTTCNTTCTAAGAAACCAGGCCTTGAGCTAACAAACCAGTATTTTGTTGGCGTCAGCGGGACGTTGACGTCATGCCGACGCCCAGATAAGGCGCTTGTCCTAAGAAACCAGACCTTTAGAAGAGCTAACATCGAAAAATTTACGATGGGGCAAGTGGCTTACTGAGCACTTTCCAAAATGGAACTTTAGGACTGATCACGGGAAAAGAAATAATCGAAATGCTAGAGACCATCAACAAATCATATCTTGGTTAACACATTGTCAGGTTTATGTAAATCTATTGAAATTACGATTGTCATATCTGCGAACTTTTCAAAAGTTTTTGAAGAATGTTCAGCAGCAATTGAACTGGAAGAATTATCACTTCCAAGGCCAGCTTACTGGTGCAGTGTTTGCACTTACAACCGATTGGCGATCTTGTGTGGGATGCCGCTATGGAACTTTACTATGCAGCAGATAAATACCAGATTGAACCGTTAAAGAAGGAATGCCTATCTTTTTTTAAAAGAGATTTATCAGACAAAAACATCTGTGATGCCCACCAAGATAAAAAGCTTCAGAAAAGTGCCCAGGGATATTTCTGCAAAAATTCCAGAACTATTTTACGCTCAACTGAATGGACAGATGTGTTATACAATAGAGCTGATTTAGCCTCTAATATTTCGTACAAACTTGCAGAAAATCTTTAAGTTTAAAAACTTATAGTTTATGGAACGGAAAAATTTTAATCTTTAAACATTAAAATCGAATAATATTTGTAATAAATTTCCTATATATTCCCCTGGCTGTCTGCCAAAATACTTGTATTGAAAATTACATTTCTACAGCTCACGGTGGCTAATTTACAATCCAGCTACATTTAACAACTTTAAAAATTGAAGAAATCGGTTAGAACTCGAGAAGTACCCTTTTCCGTGGCCTTTTTAAAGGATTAAATGAAATGAAACGCTTGGTGAAATGTAAAACGAAACCACGATAAACGTATCGGCAATGTCTCACATCAACCTTCGGAATTTTTATCACTGAAAAAAAAAAAAAAANCTAAGGTCATTAATAGAGTCAATATGCGTTTATCCTCAACGAACAAAAAAAAACAACAATCTGATAATTTTATGTCGGTGTAGCTTTATTTTGAAAGATAAAGACGTTTCTAAGATAATAAATGCTGAAACGAGATTACTAAATTAGTTACTTGGCAAAAAAAACTTGCGAGGACATTAATAAAATATCTGTTTAACTTCAGCTTTTTGGATCTATTTGTAAGTTATAGATTTTGTTTTAGCTTATGTCAAATTATGTTTCATAGTTTTAATCTTATCATTTCATATCAAATATAATTTTTGCGCCACAACAATCACATCAATAGAATTATTTTGGCAATAATATTTTTTGAAACAGATCAATTCAGAGAAACCAGCTTGCTCCGCTTCGTGAAAAAAATTTTTTAGTCATACCGAAGTTAATGTTATATTGCATGATTTACAGTTTAGTAAACCTGATTTAAAGTGACTTTTTCCCACCATTGCATGTAAATAATTCAAAAATCATATCGAACGCTTGCGACGGATGATTTATAATTTAGGAAATCTGATTTAAAGTTATTTTTCCCATCACTGCGTGTAATAATTCAAAAATCATATAAAGCGCTACTTTTTTTCTGACCTCTTGGGGACCTCCCTAGCCGAGTCTCACTGATCTACCAAACAATGTGCAAGATGGAGGTTGCTGATTCGAATCCCGTTGCAACCCAGGCTGTATCTTTGCAATATCCCTCTTTAATTTATGCTGTTGTTGTTCTCCTTCAACTTGACGAGGGCTCGTAAGCCGTCTTTGTAATGTGCACACAAGTATGTGTAACAATAATTAAATTCAGAACTCTAGTGGTGAGACTTTTAAAATATTTTTGTTTAAAAAAAATGGCGAGTGGGACTAGTTGTGCATTTATTTCGAATAATTAAAAAGTTGTGCAAAAGTATGTTGCTATCAGTCTTTTTCAGAAAGAGATAATGCATTAATAATCACCACATGTAGCCAACTACTATGCTTTTTGCAAAATATTTTATACAGTGTTAGGCAGTTAACGGAATTTTTGGTGTAATTTTGCCAACATTTCAAAAGATTCACAAGAAAACTGGATCGCAATGGCGTTTCATAAGAACTTTTGAATCATTTACATGTGAAAATCACACATACAAAATAATGAATCATGTATTTAAACAAACTTAACCACTAGAAGAATTTTACCCAAAAAAGCAGAAAGTTGGTAGACCTAGGTAATGTTAATTTAACAACTAATCGACCAAATAAAAAAAAATACGATCAGTTTTGGTTGCTTCTTCATTGTCTGGCATTTAAACAAATCAGATCTCAATAGGCATGGATGCAACAGGTGACTATAATTGTAAGTGGTAGAAACTCAGTTCCATTTTATTTATTTCATCCATTTATCAATTTTTTTTATATTTTATTTCATAAACGTTGTTGAACAGCCGACCCAATTTCCGGGTTTACGACTACTAATGTTGAACTCTGTAGCATTGTAATTTTAAACCCAATCCAGAAGACAAGGCAACTCTTAGATCATGTATTGGGAGAAATTTGTCTTCGTGGAGTACTTTTAGATGAAACTAACCCGCATTTGCCTTGCATGGAGAGGAAGATCACGAGAATTTTCCACGGTTAGCTTGACGGCTAGGAGACTCTAACCCATGATCAGTCTACCACTGAGGATATTTCACGTAGGCACTGTGATCGATGCAAGCCGGATGCGGAATTCGTATCGACCATCCATCGCTGGGATTCGAACCCGGTTCACGTCATTCTGTTTATCAATTGTAACTACCTCTAATCGTCTTTTAGTGCACAATTTATTATTTTACTTCAATTAGTTGGGAATATTTCCGTATCGTGATCTGTCACGCCAGCTACAGTCGCCAAGGTGCCAAATAGATTTTAAATTTGCAATAAAAAAATATGTAGATGTTTGCCCGGAGGGGGCTACGAGTTATGCCTTTCGAGTCAGTATCTTTCTGTGATGTTTTTCTTTCTTTCTTTCTAATTTCTCCCGGGCTGCTGCCCGGAAGTTGTTAACACTCAGGTACTATTCTGCCACAAATCACGATACGGAAATTTCCCCAATTAGTAACTAAAATTAATTATTCCCTTAGGAAATTTTTCCATAGGTTTGTCATAAAAAATTACCAAAAGATATTCCTGTGGGGTTTAGCCTACGGTAAACTTTTGCCTATGACAAATTTTGCCTATGACAAAATTTTGCCATATGCATATGGGAAATGTTTGCCATAAGCGTATATGGGAAATAATAATTGCCATACGTATATGGTAAAATTTTATCATAGGCAAAACCCCATAGGATTATCCTATGGTAATTTTTATATATACCAAATTTTCGCCATAAAAGTATGTTTTTTTTAATTATTGTTTATTAATTACTGTTTATTAATTTATACGTAGACAACAATAAACAAGAGTCGTTGAATTACTGGGAGTACTTTTCACAATGCTTATGCTACAAGAATAATTGCAATAAGATAAATTAAGGTAATAGATTATGCTATTAAATATATGAGAAAAGACAACAATTATATAAGAACTCTTACCGGACAAAACCCGGATAATTTAAATCTTATTTACGACAAAAATTAATTAGAAAACAATATAGGCAATAAAAGTAACGAGGAAAAAAAATGGAATGTACTTAGTACTAATTTTGTTGGTTCTCTTCTGTTCATTAATCCAAAATCAAATAACATCAAAGATTGAATACATATTGTAGAAAGGCACAAAATCTAACAATTGATGTTAGCGAAATTCACTCAACATTATTGTAGCCGCAAGAGCTAATTTCGTTCTCAAGTTGTTTATGAAATAGTAGACAAAGTTCAAAAATCTAGAAAAATGTTCTTGAAACTAGTAGGATATCGATTAATTTCAAGAATTGTAAAAATTATTTAGTCAGATATTCGAAAAAAATAAAAGTAATGACTGAGTTCAAAAATTCAAGAATATAAAATAAAAGCCTTTTGGAGAAATAATGCTCCGTCTGCGTTACGTGCATGCCTCACCGTCTACCTGTCAGCAGTGGAAATTTATGAAATTGGAATGCTATTTTTTCATTAACATAATCGAAAATAATTTTAAATAGCTATACATTCTTATAAGGTGGCCAAACTTTATGAAAAGGTACCATTGGTTTCGATTAATTAGTTTGAGTTTCAGTAAAACAAGCCAGCTTTCTTCCATGTCCACTCTCCCATACGAATGCGTATGGTTCTATTAGTTTGTCATATCCTATGGTACTTCACTTTAATCGTACCATAAGGCTATGGTGCCAAGCCATACAAATTCTATGGTTACCATAAGCTTACGGTGTCTTGCCGTAGGAATACCATACAAATTTCTATGGTAACTATAGGCGTATGGTGTCGTGCCATACGAATGGCATCTATGACAAACATAGGCTTTCAGTTGCTATGGTTGCCATAAATTACCATAGGCGTGCCTATGGCGAATATTTCTAAGGTCATTAATAGAGTCAATATGCGTTTATCCTCAACGAACTTTCAGTACAAAACCGGGTTTTTTTTAAATTTCAATTACTGTTCATTTTAATTTTATAGTGACAAGTTTTAAAAGCTTCATCCAACAAAAAAGATTTTTTTTTCAGTGGCTGTGAACTAACTCAGATACGTTTTTAAAAAGGAAATTGAATTAATAAATATTTGAATCAAAAATAAGCCAGCTCGATAATTGGTCAATTTATCAAGCTGGCCTTTTATAAATATGCACAAATTTTTCACATGCAGTGGTGGTGAACAGCAGAAAAAATTAGTTTAAAAAATTTTATTTCTATAATTATGAAAAAAAGTTTTCAAAATTATACTTTTACATTTATTATAAAAATTTGGACTAGATCCCCTACTTAAAATACAATCAGAGAAGATGGAAGCAGTTATTATTTTTTAAGTAATAATTAAATTATATATAACTCAAAAAAGTTAATTAAGTTTATTTAATGGAACTTTTTATTGTTAACCGATTGTACTTTTTATTCAAATTTCTAGCTTCTTTTATGTAAAAAAAAAATTACCATTTTTATTTCAGTATTTGTATTTCCACTTATTACTTTAAGAAAATATTAACCTCATGTATAAAATCAGGGTTGCTTGTGGTAGTAAAAATCATTTTCTTTCTACCTTGTTTTTCGCAAGAAACAAACGTCCGTAACTAACAAGACTTATTGACAGCTATTTTCCAATTTAAGAAAGTCTTGAATAAGCGTTGTAACTATTAATAAGTCTTGGTAGCCATAGTTCGTTTCATCTTTCCAAAATAAGTTGGATATGAAATGATTTTATCACCAATTTTTTTTTCTGGCTTTCAAAAAGCCTTGATGTTATACAAAACAAAATTAATGTTTCGTTCTTTTCAGAGTAAAACAATTCTGAAGAGTTATTATGGCTCGATCAGCTAGGCCCGATCATGGTTTTACTTGTTTTTGGAGAATAACAGATTTTGACATAACCAGTACAAGCTCAGATTGTTTGTATAAGAGTGAAAAATTCCGAATTCCAATGCTAAGTTCCTCGAGCTGGCATTTAGAATTGGAACATACATGGCGTGCATCCTTAGGTTTGTACCTTTATAAGGAGGATGAGAATAATGGAAATAGTAATATAGATATACAAATGTCAGTGTTGATGTCATCGGGATGGCGAACCAGATTTAGTCATTTCTTCAAGTTCAAACCAGGTGGTACAGGTCATGGTACTTCAGTATTAGTAGATTGGAAGAAAGCGTTTAGTAGAAATAATCATGTGCTGGATGGCTGTTTGACCGTTAGCTGCCATATATCAAATGGGGCTACATGGGATAAATATGAGCAATGCTTTTTAGTATCAAATGTAACTGACGATACATTATTTCATTTGCCGGCAATACTTGAATTCAATGACCTAGAACCAAAACATCTTGTAAACTTTCCTACACCTACAGTTACATTGACGGAAGCGTTTTATACGAGTTTGGCTGAAGCTGTAGTACAGAACTTGCCTCAAGGAAGAAAAAAGCAACACAATGATCGAAGTAGCGGGTATTCAGTGAAAGAAGTGGAAACTAAAAGTACTCAGACTGAAAGCATGGAAGATGGTCATGTTTTGAGAGATTCAGATGATTTGCTAAAACTATTCAAGGACAAAAGATTTCAATATGTGACACTGCGCACACCATCTAAGGATTTCGCTGTTCACAAAACCATTCTTTGCGCGAGATCTACAGTTTTCAACGCCATGTTAGAAAAAAATGCCGTAGTTGATATTGACGACGTACACAGTGACACTTTGTCTGTACTATTGCAGTATTTGTACCAGGAATCGATACAAATCAATGATCTAGAATGGGACGTAGTACTGAAGCTCTATTATGCAGCTGCTAAGTATCAGATAACACAGTTGAAGAGAGATTGTTGTTCCTATTTGAAGAAAAATTCAACTGATGAGAATGTCTGCGATCCTTCCATTTTTGAGGAAGAGTCAGAAATTCAAGAAACAGTGCAAGAAAACATTGCCTCCGAGGAAAGAGAATTAACCTCCAATGGAAGCTGGTGTTTTTAATTGTAAGAAATCATTAAAGGAACAGTAACTTATAGTCTGAGGTTACGTAACTATTATCATGTTCTACNGGTCTAACTTCTCGGGACCAGGTTACGTAACTATTATCATGTTCTACAAATAATAGTGAAATTGAGGAACAAATAAAAAGTGTGATTGTGTTGAGAATTATCGTCTGCTTAATTTTTAACTATGATCTAGTTCATAAAATTAAGTTTCAAAAGTGAAGGTTTTGTTTTGCTTTTTTGAGATTGTTTGTTCTTTTTTTGTGGAGAAGAAACAAAAAGGCTTTGAGTTAATATTTATTTATTTTTTAACATTAATTATATTTATATTTACGCCATTTTGTATTTTTTCTACGCCATTTTGTATTTTATATTATTGTAAATATAGAACTGTAAATTAAATCATTGCGTCTGTTGTTTTTATGGAATAATCAAGAACACTGACATGTTTAATTACATGACATGTTTAATTACATGGAATGACATGTTAATCTCTCTCTCTATATACGTTATAAGAGATTGTTCTTCTAACGATATGCAAGCACTAAATTTTATCCAGCTTTCTAACAAACTGGGGGTATAGAATCAATATTTTTTTTAAAATTATTCCATTGATAAAAATATCCTTTTATTAGTTTAACACAGCTGTTCCCATTTTTTTTACAGAACCCTAAATAATCAATCTTTAACGGAACTCCGATTTTATAAATGAAATGTATTAATTAAATTAATTGTGTACGTTATAACCAGTAAAAAACTATTTTTAAATATTTAATTACAGGTTTGAAGATTTTTAACTGTTTTGTTAATAATAATTTAAAATTTTGTTTTATGTCCGACAGTTGAATTCGTAGTCCTTGTGCGATATCTAGTCTAGGTATGAATTTATTATGGGTGTATATATAGTGCGGCTTTGAGGAGAACTCATCCAGACTAAAAGTTTGGGACTGTCTGTTACTATAGTAACAAGTACGAGCACATTTCTTATGGGGGTGAAATGGAGGAGAGAAGGTGTCGACTGGTTTACTCACGGAGATCTATGCCAAGATTAAGACAAAACTATTCACCCCACATCCCTAATCGAAGTGTCTTTTCCTCGTAACCATAGTACCCGCCAGGACGAGAGACGGCTGTCTGGAGGAGTTCTTCTGAAAACCGCACTATATGTTATTGTGAATGACCGAAATTGGTGATTGTTGACGTCCGCTAGTAAATGTTGACAATCACATAACCGCGTCGGTAAATGTCCAAAATATATACTACTTCTAGTTAAGTGCCTTTGCCCGGCATGCATTTTACCGGTACTCCGAACACTGATGTTTCCCCCAATCTATTCTCAGAAAATATTAAGATATCGAATAAATATAATATCAACGAATAAATTAATATAAATCAGATATAAAAAATATTTCGGACATTCACCAAATCGACTACGTGACTGTTGACATTCACGGTAATGTATAAACATATACTGAAAATAAATAAAATAAGAAAAATTATAGTTTATTTCGAAATGAAAACTTAAAAGTTGAAAATGGTTATAAGGGAAACGTATTTTTTTTATTTAAGATAATAGTTATTTTGTTTTGAAAGGCATACTCTGAAAATGCCATACTTTATAAATGCTTATCATAATTTGTTTAATACACTCTATAACACAAAAATCGACGCACCAAGAAGCAATCATTCGATTGCTTTGAAATTTCGCATGCATGAATGTTTTGAACAGATATGGCTGGAATGATGCCGACTGGGGACGTATAGCCTTTAGCGACGAATCCCGCTTTCAATTGTGTCCTGACGATCTTGAAGACATGTTTGGATACGCACAGGGCAGAGGGGGGATCCTGCCTTCACTATTGCACGCCACACCGGCCCTCAACAAGGCATTATGGTCTGGGGTGCCATTTCCTTTGACAGCCGGACCCCTTTGGTCGTCATTAGAGGTACACTTACTGCACAGCGGTACGTCGACGACATCCTAAGACCTGTTTTGCTACCGTTCCTTTTGCAGCGCCCTGGGCTGGTTTTTCAGCAGGACAATGCCAGACCACATACGGCACGTGTTGCTATGAACTGTCTGCAAGCTTGTCAAACTCTTCCTTGGCCTGCCAGATCACCAGATCTCTCTCCCATCGAGCATGTCTGGGATATGATGGGAAGGCGATTGCATCTGGCACGGAATGTTGATGACCTCGTTCGACAATTGGATCGAATTTGGCAGGAAATACCGCAAGAGACCATCCGGGAGCTTTATCGGTCTATGCCACGCCGTGTGGCAGCTTGTATCCAGGCTAGAGGCGGGTCAACACCTTATTGAACTTGTTACTGTAACTCTGCAATAAATTATTCAATTGTTCTGAAATTTTAATCATTTACTATTCTGTACATTGTCTTCCTATCCACCAATTTTCGTTTCAATCGGACAACTCCTTCTTGGTGCGTCGATTTTTTTGTTATAGAGTGTATATTGTTAGAAATATTAAATTTTCTTTTAAAAAATACTATTTTCATTTCTTTGGCATTTTACTTGAAATGATTTCATAAAGGAAAAATTTTAAATAAATTATGAATTATAGATTGGATCTAAATAATAATATTAATGAGTTAGTTCTATTTATGAAAAGAACTAACTCCCGGAACCCCTTTCACTTTGCCACGGAGTCAGGGGGTTCCGCGGAACCCTATAAGGAAACCAGCGGTCTAACTTCTCGGGACCCAAAAATTTAAGTATAAATGTTATGAGTACTTTCCAATTTAAAAGATATGCAGATAAATGCCGTTGTTGGAAAATCAAGTAAATATTTAAAACTCACTGATTGATATTCCCTTTCTTGCAACACGAATTCTGGTAGAAAAAATTTAGTCTAGCAACACAAGAATATATTAAGTTTTAGTGGAATTATGATTTTGAAGAAATTTAGTCACCCTACCAGTAGAGTAGGTCGAATTTCTCTAAAAATAAAGTATTAAAATTGGCAGTAAAGATGCAAGATCTGTTATATAACTATCTGTTATTAACAATAATAGAAAAAAATAATTGAACTAAAGTATTACTCTAATCGGTTGGCGATGCATCATGAATCGAATCAGTGATCTGATTCTCTTGATTCGAATAGTCATTTCAATCATTTTATTGGAATAACTTGATTTGAATAATTCATTTCTCCTCCATTTCAAGTGCTCAGTAGCCCACTTCCTGCGCGCTGTTAACGTGACACACAACATGGGTCGGGAACATACTGAGTGAAGGCGGTTTCGGACAGTTAATATCGTAACTGTGGTGCCAGTAGTCAAACGAATGTGTTAATGGAGAAGAATGGCATTTATATTTCGATGTCTCCGAGCCGTTAAATAACGATCTGAATTGCGCGTTCTTGCATGGCTGATCTTCTACTCTCCCATAAAACGGTGTCAGATCCTGAAACTCAAATAGCTTCTGCTACTTCGGCTTGCGTTTGATCACCCTCTAACCGGCCAACAACTCTTCAATCTTCGGTTAAATGACTTCGTAGAGACACCGCACTCATCGAAACAAAGCGCTTAATGAATGTCGATCATTCTTTGTGAAATCCTGAGGAATCAGTACTCAGAGCAGCCTCCCCTGGCAGCAATAACAGCAGTTATTCTCCTGGGCATCGAGTCGAACCGAGATTGGATAGCATACGGACGAGTACAGCATTCCATACAGCTTCAACATTATGCCACACTTCATCGACAGTAGTGAGTGACGAGTGGCGCCAGTCGTTCGGCAACCATTGACCAGACGTTTCAAATTGATTATAGAGATCAGGAGAACGAGCTGGCGGGCAACAGGCGAACATGTTGTGCGTCGAGGATGGTCAGGGCAGTGCGGGCAACATGCGGTCGTGTATTGTCCCTGTAACGGCTGCTGTTGTCCCGACAATGTGAACAAGTGCCGGTAATGAAAGCACCCCATACCATTACTCTAGGCGATGGGCTAGTATGACGGTGTCGCCAAACACGGATGCGGTCATCATGATGCTGTATACAGAATCTGGATTCGTCTGAAAAGATGACGTCATGCCATTTCTGCGTCCAGGTTCGCCGTTGATCACACCATTGGAGGCGCTCTTGTCTGTGATGCAGCGTCAAGGGTAGCCAAATACATGGTTGCCGTGCTGACAGTCCCTGCTGCTGCAAACGTCGTCAAATTCTTCGTGCAGACACTTATCTTGTAAATGACCCCATTTCTTGCCTCGGGGTTCGTGACGTAGCTGTGCGATCTTTTAAGGCCATGTGAATTGGCGATCACAACGCTTGAATACGCCATCTGGGGAGAGACCGGTTTCATGCCTTTGGCCCTTCCCTCTCAGGGTTGCAAAAAACTCACCTACCCAGAAAAACCCGGGAGGGTTTTACTGGGCAAAACCCACTCTGAAAAACCCACCCCAGAGTGGGTTTTACTGGGTTTTTCTAAAGTTGATTTCTTTTTTTATCCTCTGTTATATTAAAAAGATATTCTATTGAAATATATATGTAGTCTATCCTAAAAAAACTGAATCTATGGTGAAAATACTAATAACAATCTGGAGAAAAAAAATTTATTTGAAAAATTATTGAAGAAAAATGTATAGGTTTCACATAAAAAACAGAATAATTTGAGTATAAATCATACTACAATAAAAGTTTTTTCATTAGGTTATTAATTCAAAATAAACACAGACAGAGGAAATACATTATAAATAAATCAGGTTATCAGTGTTAGAATTCTTCAATCTTAAATGTCTATGTATTTTAACTAATTTTAACGCCTTTTGTACACCCAGTCTATTTCTCAATTTTGACCAAACCAGTCCACAAGTAGAAAATACTCGTTCCAATGATGCAGAGCTAGCTGGACAATTGCTTAGAGCAACCATAAAGTTGCAAAAATCTGTCATATCTCTATCATTAGTACGCATTTCCACCAATTTCCACCACTGTGATGCACTGAATTTTTTTATTACATCAGCGTTAAACATGCTAGGAGGAAATATTTCCGGGTCTTTTAATTTGTAGCTCATGAGGGGAATCAACCATTTTGGGTGTTCTGTTTCTAACCACTCCTCAGCTTTCTGTAACATATCAGAGGTTAATCTTTTTCCTGCATATTTAGGATCCATAATGTTTGCTAAATAATGAATTGGGAGAAGAGCTTGG